GTCTGACGATCAAATCAGGCGGGCTCTTTCATATGTATCTGGGACGAGCATGTTTCCCTAATCCGTGCCAAAGTAACAGTCAACTCGATAGCTTGCGCATCCGGTGTAATATGTTACCAGACGACTACATACTTCGAAGTCTACAGTCAAACCTTGCTATTGACCAGAGACTAGAGTCTCGTGTATATAAAATAGGGTAGAATGATGTTAACAGCCGTGACTGCTGTATCTGTGGCCAATTACTTGTCGCTGGGACTAGACATAGGCTGCCTCGTCAGCTCATTTGAAGATTCAGTGCTGTCCCCTGAAGGTTGAGTGCCAAATACGATGTGTGCGCACTGCAGCCATGGCCGATTCATGGCCCGGCGCGTGATTGAGTGGGAGATTGGAGCGCTGCTCTCTGGGTGACTTGTAGGTAATACCATCAAGAGCCTAAACACTATTACACGCTGTAGGTGGTCCTTCTGAGTCCATCCTTCCGCGTGTTTTCAGCCCGGCATACTGGAGGCATCGGGCTGATAAAGACCAGTGTTTCTGTCAAAGATGCCGTGTAACACATGAGATATCTGGAAAGGAAGGCTGTTACATCTCTCGGTTTAGATATAGACAGAACTCCGTTGATACCGAAGTTGATTCGATGGATGTAGTCTCCTGTCATACGAGAAGTCATTCTGTCATACCACTCTTCGAACAAAAGTTTTCAGCAGAGGCCTCCATGTTCGTACGATAGCAATCCCTAATTTCATAGAGGTCATAGACTGTCCTTTCCATGTCGTCGTCTCAACTGATCCCTCTGCTCGCATTGACAGAGAATGCGAAGGCCATAAACACATACTCTTGTCGTGATATCCTAATCCTGTTCCAGCGGGCTCGAGTTGGCTTTTCTTCGCCCTCCGCACGTATGAGAAGATGATACGAAAGCAGGGTAAACCGACTTCAGTACCACATCAACCAGTTGGACAAATCATGTCTTGACGGGAAGGGATTTGGAATCCACTACTTCGATACGAATTGGCGATTGCACTCACGGATTGAATATGAAGAGAAATACCGAAATCGCCAATAGCCACGTCTAAAGGCCTTCTGAACTGCGAGACTCCTTCTTCAGATGTAACCACGATGAATACGAGATGAGTACTTTGCAAGATCACAGATGGGAAACTTTGATCTCTGCGCTGCACTCTACTTAGCTTTGTATGTGCCCCTTTTTCTTCAAGAAGCACAACTGTAAGTGATGTTACACTCTTTAAGGTCATTTGTGAAATCGAGACTCTCTTTCTCTCTTGTGAGTCTCCTTGATCATACCAAGGTATTCATGGTCTTTCGTGTAGTCGCGTCGAACAGTTGGAAAGTGGTGCTCGTACATGATCTTACAGCGGCTTCGCAGCTCCGAAGAAGTAAACAGGTGAGCTCGTAACCAAATGGATAAATGGATCACAACAAGTCAGGGGGACCTGAGAAACCCTCCCTCTCTCTCTGTAACCACTAAGTCTTCTTGTACATCATATCCTCCAGGGGAGTGAAGATGTCTCCTTCCAGGCGCTCAACACAAATACATTTACACAAGGCAGACAATCTCCATTCACATCATCAGCCGCCGTCTACTCCAGGTTTTGTTGGCCCCCTTCTAAAGCTTCTAGGTCCATAAGCCAACGCCGTCGAAAAGTTCATGCTCGACATCGCACGCCGTCGAAACCAAAAGTAAATTCTCCGCAAGCGCATGAAAGATCAAGATCACCGGCGCGCCGCGATTCTAAACTACGGGGAGAAATGGTAGCTTCCACAGCGGAGGACGTTACTGGCGGCGCGGCCTTGGATAGCTTCGCGATCTCAAAATGACGGACATTCGAACGGCTCGCTCAACGGATCTGTCTCCTAGACGCCACCTACCATTCTTCCCTCCCCTCCATCGCTCCCTTCACCGAATCACCTCTCCCGGAGCAAGCAACCAAACCCACACAAATCCAAACAAACATCAAGTTTGTCTCTACGAACCACGAACCGGCTCGCGCACCCACGTGGGGATCAAGAACGGCGGACAGGAGGCGGCGTCCCGGGAGCCAAAAACAACATGAGATGCCGCGGGACGAAGAGAATGGTCGGATCTTCATCCACGTAGTTCGTTCATCCTTCGTGTTGATCTCTCCAGGCACATAACCTCACTCATTGGACATCTCGGCGAGCCCGTTTTTCAAACTCTGTTTTTACGAATTATTCCTGCCCCTACATCCTCGCAGGTTAAACCTAGATGAGAAGCTGAACTGCATAGCCTGGACATTGCAATCACCAATCGTGACATGCACGCAGGGTTCACATCACAATCACATTCCCACGCATCCACAACGAACACACCAGATCTACGAAACCTTCATCCTTCTTTGCCCTGTGATTCAATTCTGCAAAGCTTTGATTTGACTCTCTCTCGTGCTTCGTAACCTCTGTCGCCCACAGGACCAAGCCAAGCCCCCCCCTTTATCACGCAAGTCAGAAGACCGACGAACCGCCGCTCAGGCAATTCTCGTGAAAAGCAATAACACGCCGTCACACGGGCATGTAATGAGCAGGGCACCGGACAAGGGGGTCCAGGGTCAACACCCTCTCTCTTTCTCAATACGAACATATTTCTTCGAAAAGGCGCACGAATGAGCGGGTGATTGGGCAATCTCGGAATATCATCTCCTATCCTCTGAGCATCCAGCACACGGCCAAGTCCCGAGTCCAGGCCCAGGCCTCCCAATTCAGGAAAGCAACTCATCGTACGAAAGTCTCTCTTTGCATCGAAAACTTGCTTTCGTGCTTCGCGTCTGTAATGTGACGAGATCCCAACAGTCCAAACAAGGGCAACCTCCAGCGGATCCTGCATTTCTGCTACTGCTGCCTCCTTCACTCCGTACATACCATCCAGCCATCTAGCCATCCATCCATCCACCCACCAGCCAGCCCCCTTGCGCGTCGTCGTCAACCCCATCGTGAAATGAGAAAAAAACCCAAAATCAGATGATCAAACCTGGCATGTACGCTCCGTCAAGCGGCCGCCGCTGACTGCCGCTTCCCTCCTTCGAACGAAAAAGTCACACGGTCTATGCCATGCAAGCGCACGAGCAAAAGCGAAGAAGACAAGACAGGTCAGCCTTCTCCGAATCCTTCCTGCTTGCCCGTCTACCCCAGCCATCACATCACACACATCCCATCACGGGCATCAAGGGAAGGCCCATCTGACAAACACTCAGACCAAACGCCCCCCAGCACCAACGCCAACACCAGCACCAGCCAGCCCCCAAAGGCCCGCAGGCTGCGGGAACAGCAAAGACCCTCAAGACCGGACCGCGGCAGCTACTCTCTTGGGGAAGAGACAAGACCAGGCCGGGCTCCTGCATGGCATCAGCACCAACACCAGCGCCAGCACCAAGACAAGAGCACTGTTCATCGTCAAGTCCAGTCCAGTCGGGTGGCCGGGGCTGGGAATGGGAGGGGGGGCACGATAAACCCTCAACGTTTAGTTCGGTGGCTGACCTATCTTGAACTTGGCTAAGCTACGTGGTCTACCTCCCGTGGGTAGAGACCACCAAACGGCCACGACACGTCCACGTCCCCGTTGGACACGCGCCGAGAACTGACCCTCTCTCTCACTCACTCTGTGCTCTCTCGCGTTTCCGTGATGTTCCAACGAAGACAGCTTCATCCTTTATCCGTCACTCGCTTCAAATCCTTCGTCAGGAAAACACACAAATCGCATACCCCCTTTCACTAGTTCCCTTCCCCCGTCCACCTGTTCCCTACTCTTTCTGGGCTAATCTTGGTTCACTCACGGCCCTCAAGCCAACAAGAATCACAAGAAACCAGATGACAAGCCCGCAGAAAAGGTCGAGCGCGACAGCTCAGAAAAAAAAGGAGCGCAGAAGTGTCATAGCACATAGCACACCCCCGGGAACCAGCAAGACCGGCGGACAAGAGGCGGGACAGAACGCGAGAGAGAGAGAGAAACAAGACGAGTCCCTCGGACAGTGAACTAGCTTGGTACACCACTGCGCGCGGGCGTGGGATCTTCTCACTCTCTCATTCTCACTCTCACATCCGTCTCGTCTGTCGCGCATGAGGCCTAACGCGCGTCATGTCCCATCAGCTCGCTCGCTGATTCACCAATTCGTGTCGCGAGAAAGAGGCAAGCCAAGCCGTGTATCGTGTCTATGGAGACCAGAGACTGGAGATATGATGTCGCGACACTTTTGCCTTTCCCCCTACTGTATAGTTAGCGGTAGTAGTCTCCTTTTCCCCTACTTGCCACGCCCACGCCCCCCCTCCTTCTTCGTTTCGTTCTTCCGGGGCCCTCTCATTCACACTTGTCTCCATCGTGGGTTCCTCATTTTGTTTCTCCGCCAGTCTTACCGCATGACGCCGCCGGTTGATCATAGGGAAAGGAGAAGAGCTGGCCGGTGTACGAAATACGCACTCCCTAGGCCTTGCTGCTCTTGCCGTCCTCCCACCCCTCATACCGGGGGCTAATCAAGTGCTGCTCCTCTTCTTTCTCACCTGCCGGTATCCCTCTTTCCCCAACCATACATCATACAGGTATCGACAGCCAAACAAGATGGAGGAGAGTAATCCACACGCCCTGGATTTGGCATGGTCTAAACCAGAGAGGGTGAACTAGTCCAATAGAGACAGCGAGAAAAAGAGAGAGAGAAAGAAGACGGCAATGCGTAGAGAAACCCTAAATTTCTCAAATCGACGCCGTCTCGAAGACCAAGAAGGCGCCCGCTAAAGCGATGTTGCGCCATTTGGCCAACAAGAGAAACAGGAGCAGCAATAAGGCAAGCCCTCACAAGATTCCACGCTACAATCGTCCGCTAGACACGTCTCCCATATCAAATCAATGACACTAGAAGGGGTGGGAAAGGGAAGTAGACGATCCCATCACAAGCAAAGAAGAAGAGTAAGAAGAACAACGCCTGACCGAGGGGTGTATCTTGCGTGCTGCTTGCCCATGTGGGAAAAAGCCCATGCCGGAAAGACGCCCGACATCCAGCGCCAACGCCAATATCAGCACCAAGACCAAGACCAGCACCAGCACCAGCACCAGCACCAACACCAGTCATCGGCTGACGGCGTGAGCGTTGGAGGAGGGGGGGGAAAAAGGGGACCCGGGGGAATAGTAATATGCCAGCCAGCCATCAAAGGAAGGAAACCAAGATGGCCTTCTTTTTGGGACGAGACCGGGGGGGAACAAAGTACGTTGGTTTCTGTTGAGCACGTTCCGAGGGCGACATATGGCACCGGCCGTTTGGCCTTTTCGTCGACCGGACCTGTCGTCCTATGCCTATGGCGTTTAACCCGGGGTACCTGTCACGGAGTCGACTCCGGGAAAGACGGCCGCCAAACTACGGCGTTTACAAAAGTGACAATGGCCAGCCTACTCCGTACCAACTACTACACAATTGATAGTGTCCAGACCGGAGAGGCGGGAGGAGGCGGATGAGGGACCGGATGACCTAACGACCGATGATGAATGAATTGTATCCGTAATACATACGTAGAACAATTTGTCATTGCTGCTCCTCGGTCTTCACCCCCTGAACAGTCCAACTGAGAAAGACTTTCGAGGAGGCTTGCAAACAAACGCCCGCCAAGTTACGCAATGCGCCCTTTCTCTTCCTCCGCTTCAAACTTCATCCACTTGCGGCTGGGCTTTCCCCCCCGCCTCCCGCGACTGGTATTGATTCCAAAGAGTACCAATTTGATACGAACGTGCGCCATGTCACGAGGAAGGGGGGGGGGGGGGAGGGAACGGGTAGTACGGTATTATTCCTAGGTCAGGTACCGTACAAGGCAAAAGGTAAGGCAAGGCAAGGCAAGGTAAGGCCAAGCCAGGCAAATCTTACCCTTTGAGAAACAGTCCCACCCCTTCTCTTTGGTCTCTGATCTCTTTCTCCAATTCGAGATTTACACAGCACAGCTCTCCGAGTCGTCGCATCCGATACGCCCTATGCAAGCGTAGGTATCAGATGAGGGAATTGCACGGAGCAAAGAGAAAAAGGCAGATATGGAGACCTGAGAAAGCAACGAATCAAAGAGAGATCAGCGCTCTTTCCGCACTGCCACCGGGTGTCCTCGGATGGCGTCGAGGAATAAAAGATCTTCGAACCTAGCGCGGCGGGGAAAGGGGAGGCGGGGGCCAAAAGCGTATGTAGTGGTAAGTAGGTAGCAATCCGTAGCCCAGAAGATAGGCCGCGAGAGGAAGGATGGGAGGTAGCAGGGAGCAGGGGGAGGACGAGGACGAGGACAAGGAGGGAGCAGTGCATCCGTAGAGCTGTGTTGCGTAGAGGGGGGGCCAAGACGGGAACCCTGCCCTTGGATAGCCCGTCCATTCTCTCTCACTCTCTCTTCGTTGACCCTCCATCGCTCCCGCCGCCGTCTCTCATCCGCCGCCCTACCGAAAGAACAGACCACAAGGAAATCAAGACCCGGAACTTGGAAGAGCCTCCTGGACGCTTGTCTAGATGGAAACGACGTGGATCCCCACTAGACTGGAGATGCAGCAATACGGGCTGGCACGAATCATTGAATGTACGCCACTACATGCGACGTTGGGGGAAATTTGCTTGGGGATTTTCGGGTTAATTACCCAAGATCCCGTGTATTAGGCCGAGAAGGGGAAGAAGGCAGCGCCACGGAGGAGAAAGAGAGGAGAGGACGGATACCTACTTGGGTACTCGGAGGGGTGTGCGAGTGGGAGAGAGGGAGAGAGAGTGTGTGTATCTGGGTCTACCATAGGACAGACAGCCTGGGTCTGGACAATCTCGATACCTACCTCCAATCCACACTCTCACTTGGGAGGTGTGGTGGGCTCTGCCAGTCTGCCAGAGGCCGTGTGCCTGAGAAGGCAGGGTTTGTCACGTCTCGTTGGTTTTATTGCATTGACAGAGTGGCTTGTCTCCTGGCCGCTGTCGCCGCGTTTGGATGAACGAATGTGCCGTCTCGAAACAGACATGGATGGGTTTCTGCGGGGAGAACAGACATTAAGGGAGGGTAGGAGGAGGAGGAGTAGGAGGAGGAGGAGTAGGAGGAGGAGGAGCAGGGCCAGGAGGGTACGGTGTGTGTTGTGATATCCTGAAAAGACGAGACCTAAGGATGGCTTTCTCCTCGAGTCATTTGACTGAGGAGATCCTGCAGGCTGCTTATGCTGTTGAGGAGGACTCTACCGTGGTTGCGGATAGAGACGCTCCCTCCACATGAGATGTTTGAGAAAGTGGGCTGGGGGGAAAAGGCGGAACAAAGAGAATGGCTCCTGAGGCGCAGAAGGAATAGTGAAAGACGCCAGTCTATGGTTGGGGGCCGTAGGTCCATAGCTCTCTCTCCATCTTTCATCTCCATCTTTCTCCGGTGTCACTCACTCTTTCTGAACGAGCTCGGGCTGCCCGCTGGAGAGGGGAGTGCAGCAGAGGAGGAGAAGGGAAGGGGGCATTGGCAAGGGTGAGGACGAGGGTGAAGGGGGTGGTTTGGAGACGATCAAGCGTCCGTATGGGCGTGGGATCTAACAAGTTGGTTGTCATTGTGATAGCTCCCCATGTGCCTGTGTAAATGTGCCCAGCTCTTCGTCCAAAGGGCATCGTTACGGACGTTGTCGAGTACGGTGAAAGGGAGGGAGCGCCACGGGTGAGAAAGTTTATTTCGGCGTGATGTCTTGGATATGTCATCGTGATTGGACACATTGCCGGCAGGGGAGATGAAGGTCCTGCGCGGTCTGAGACCTCTCTTGTGGGTAGATTACGCATACGTATGAGACTCGTTTTTGGGTGCCTGTATCCGTAGGGATGAGTGAAAACATCGTGGTCTCGGTATCCGGAGAATACCTGTCATACCCACGCATGCCATGCTCGATTCGTATTCATCCTTGCGTTTGTGCTTCTCTTGTCTCATGATGAGGTATTGTTGCATTCAAGCCCAGGCTCAAATTTTCTTGAACCATTGACTGGCGCGCCAAAATCGCGCTTCTAGATGTCTAGACCCGATTAGGCATGATGGCAAGTCTGGGTGTGAGATTGTAGTGTACGTAAGTATGGCTAGAGTGAGCCTGCAAGCACGCACCGCGGCGGCTTTTGGTGAGCGGGAGAGCATCAGCTAGCCTGCCGTAGGTCGTAATGGCGAGAAACAGAGCGAGCCGTCAACCGACGCTGAAGAATCGCTAGCTGAATAGAGGCCGTGTCGACGTGTGTGGCGCGCTCTGGGCCCAAACTCTGTCGGGGACCTTTGACATCCAGTCTCAAGATATGCTCGGTGTCCGTATCTTTGCAAGGAAAGGAAAGCCTGTAACTTGGTAAATGGATACAAACTTGCGGACAGGGAGCAGGGAGTCGGGACACCAATTCCAATTTCAGTACCAGATGGAACCCCGAGTCGATGTGCCCGTTTGATTCTGCTCTTCACTGCCATTGCCCATATGTCCTGACATTGAGACGATGAACAATGCTCGTAGCTCACCAGATGTCCCGCGACAGGAGGCTGAGTTTTGAGGCTTGCGTCATCTTCTCATCTCTCAAAGGGGAAAGCGGAGTCGTGAGCCATGTAAAACCCGTCTCGTTCGGTTGAGTTTTGCTTGACCTGCATAAGGTACGCGGCATGGAAGCTTCCCCCGTTTTCCCCAGAGGGAATACCACGACCGCAGTCTCGGGACACCGTGATGCGCCTTTTTTCTTTTTTGTGGTGTGCCTCGAGCTTCTGCCATAATCCGATGTTTACAGTTTCAAGACTTCTTCCCCAAAAGAAGTACGGCTTCAAGACAGAAGCAAAGGCCCCAAAGGGAGTGTCCGTCTTACATTCAAGGCTTAGCCCCAGCCAGGTACGGAGTATTCGTACCTACCTACAGGTTACCCGGTGCCGCCGTCCCAAGTGAAAGGGTGGACTATTGCCGCACCATGTTACCTCCCATTTGGCGTTATTCTTTGTGCAACTTGGTTGTGTGCGATAGCTCGGAGAAAAGCAAGGCTCCCCAATCGAATTCGCGTACGACCCGAGGCCAGGTGCTTGGGGCTTGGAGACCGGCGAGACAGCAGTAATAAACAACGTGGTGTCCTGGTCGACGGATGATGTTCACAAGGATCGACGTAGCCCCGGTCGCGCGAGGCCCACCCGGGAATATGCAACCCAAAACCCCTTTTTCAACGACATTCAAGCGCGAGTCGTGCGATTCGATATCATCACCGCCGCTATTTGAATAGGCGGAAACCGCGCATTAGGTCCGGATTTCGCACAAGAATATCCGTATCCGTACGTTCCATCTGTGAAGACTATCTCAATCGGCTTGTCGATGTAACCTTGGGGTTCCATTGAAGGGAATCGTATGGACTATTCTGCTCCGGTATGGGTCCTACGCTGCTGAATATTGCTTGTCCATTGGCAACGCAGCAAAGCTGGGCCAGTTGCTTCTACAAGCGCAGGCAGAAGAAGCTGGACGATAGTAGTGGGCGCTGAGGCGAATCATCAGATGCGGGCTTACATCGGCTGCAGCTTCTGATGCAAGTCAAACCTACTTGTAATTAAGAGCACATGGCATAACGGCCATTAGAGAACGCCAGAAATCTCCAAGCCCTCTCGAGGCCTCGAGTCCAAGAAGCAACTCCCCATTCATCTCTTGCATGGCGCTTCTGTACGGACGCCAAGCCGGCTGGAGAGAGTGAGATGGAGGAGACCTTTCATCAGGAGGATCGAGAAATTTAATCGCCAAAGGTAGTCACAATCCACTAGCCGTGAAAGGTTGATGTTCCCTAGTCGCACCATGCTCCCAGCTCGAGGACCGATTGCTGCATCTTCCCTAGTGTATGTTCACCATCGCGCTTCTCAGTCGTGTCAGTGTTTCTTGTATCGTGAATTGCGAGAGCCGTCGGCACCATTGGGAGCATATTGGAGCACTCATCTGCCACTATCCCTTTTAGAGATCGCCGAGAACAAAGAAAGTCACCAACTAGTTGGTAGACGGTCGTTGGTGAAGTACGATAATGTTGTCCTTCTCCGCGGGGGCTATAGTAGGGAGCCATGAGTGCTGGAAGCCAAGCCAGGACGAGGTAGTGGCGGAAGCGAGAGTGTCACTATTGTAAGTTGCTAGTTGGTATAGTTATATTGTCGGATGTCTATTATTTGTCTTCTTCACTAAGATACCTTCAGAGGCACCCTCGACGGCGGCGGCGGCGGCGGCGGCGACGTTCGGATCTCTGTAGTCTCAAGCTATGCCTTTCGGAAGCTGCTGGTCTGATAGGTAGACCTCCCAAGAACGTATCGTACCATTCAGTAGCCCCAACGGTTGTACACTAGAAATAAGTAGCCCAAACGACAGCCACAGGCTGACTCCCAATGCATGTCGATTTGCGGGATGAATGCAGCTGATAGACCATCCTCTCGCACGGACAACGTTCACTGACGAGATCGACCTGTTGTTGGGATGAGTGACTAGCTCTGTAAACATCTAGGCGGTTTCAATGCCCATAATCTCCAAGCTCGTATCTTTCCAAGGTCACCTGCTGTCTGTTAATCCTTGGCCGCCGACGAAAGTTTCGCCACTCAGGGGTTCGATATCATCTGGATGAAGCATTGCGCATCGAGAATGGCCCGTCATCCTGCCAGAGGGAACACCCATGGATTGGGACTTGAACAGTAAATGCCAAAGGGAGCAAGGATGGGCATATTTGAAGCTGTATCATCCGATGTTTCTTATTGAGTTCGATAGTCGGCGGTACGTAGTACAGTTCTTCGCAAGAGTACGCGCGGTTTGCAGGAGGAATACTCCAACCAGCCCTTCCAGTACAAGCATTATCGATGCTGCTTTGACTGGTGATCCCGAGATGATGAGCATCGCTAGAGAACCGTGATTTGCGTTGGCTCGCAGGGTAAGCGCAAGACATATTGTCGCGCACACACTCTGGCCTCTGTTGAAACTGGGCCGGACCTTGTCAGATGTCGGCGAATGCAAATCATCGGCCACGGGAAAGACGACAACCTCTCTTTGTCGGCTCTCTCGCCGGCAAGAGGAGGTTTCGTCTGCCCAAGCCCCTATCGTATCTCATTACTCCGGCTGGTTTGAGAGGCTCGGGGAAATCGAGATGGGAGAGACTGGCCAACGCAGGTTCTTTCCCAAGAGCCGTAGGAATATTCAAGTCATGGACAAATTTCTTGACGAGTCGGGAGTAAAAATGATGCATTGGCCAGATTTTGCCCCTTCTTTGGTCATGGCGGCACGTGTATCAAGTCTTTCCGGAACCCTGGATGGGAAGTTGGCGTGGTGAGGCTCAATTCCAAGTACCAATACGTGCCACAACCAAATAACGAGTGGATGGTCGGTAGATTTCACTGACTGAGTACTGAGGCCGATCTAAGCCGACACCAGTCCAAATAGGCCGTGTGGTAACCAGCCGTGCCAGCCTGCCACGCTTGCCTACGCCTGCCCGCAGCCAGAACTCATCATGTGCCGTGCGGTCGAGCATGAATTGCCCAATTTGATTGGACACGGCCTTAATGCAGATGGCCATGGCACGCAGCATGCGTCCTTAGTACTCGAAAGGACCGCCGTACTTGGTTTCTCGGTTGTCCTCCGAACGCTAGACGCAGAAACATTTCAGCACGCCACCCGGGAATGTGCTTAGTCGGCCGAGATGATGACTCAGCGTGACCAGTACCGCCGTCTACGGCACGCACGTAACCGATCTTCGATTGATGCCCCGTCGGTCTTGGATTTTCAAGGCTTTTGGCGGAGGCGCAAGTTTCTTCAGTGATCATCATTGCCCGGAGCTCGCTCTTTCGCGTTCAGGGCTGGGCGCGTGGAGCGTCTTTGGTCGATCAATGGCAGGCAACAGAAGCAGCCGATCGACAGGGCGCAAAAATCCCTGACTATGCGTGAGATGAGCACTCTTACGAGCCACTGCTGTGAGGTCGCGAGTCAGGTTCCGAGGTGTTGATGCAGAAGACAATCTGCAGAACGACCAGTTACAATAGTGAGGTAGTCATATGAGCTGGTAAAGAAAGAAACCCTAGCCGGGTTGGAGGAGGTTGATGCTCTCATCGACTCGTGAGTTTCGCTGCAAGTAGACTTGATCGAAGGCTGTTTTCGCGGGGTTTGAAATGTTTCTGGCCGCACCTCCAGTCTGACGCAACTCCTCTTTGTGGCAGGATTACCAAGTAATAGACTCAATTATCGCGGCGGATCGCTGGGCTAGTAAACGTGGGGAGGTATCCGTGGTATCCCATCGTCGCACGCATTAGCTAGCAGCTGAAGCACCCGGTGACATCTTCTCCATACACTGAACGTTTTGCAGCGAAGACAGCACCGATAGCTGCAAGGGATTGTTTGATTGTGGGGATGCGGTGCTCGATGGGCCGCTCGCCTAGACCAGCTTGACCAGGCCGGATAGCGGAAAGGAATCTGCCCCCCTCGTGGAATTCGCACGATGATACATCATAAAGTTGAACTGCAGTGTATGTACAACCATGCATCACGAACGAGGCGGATTGGCCCAATGGGGATAGCCGAGTGTTGAGGGCCGCCTTACCTGAGAGACTATCGAGTATCGACATCTGTCTGGCTGGGGTGGACATGTGCGCATCGTGTGTAAGTAAGCCCTGTCTGGATCCGTGTGGTGAAGATGATCAGGTAGACCGTACTGTACCCGTGGATGGACGGCTGAAGTAGTGGATCCGAAGCAGGAGGACGATCTTCATGTCCATGTGAACCATTGCCAGGAAAATTGGCCCACGGCAAATGGGGAGATGGGCAAATCGACTTTCCCACTGCTGCCGGCCGACAGAGTGTCTTTTCGCCTCCTCGCCTCGTACCTCCACTTGGATTGCTCCGCTGCCGGCCGTGTTTCTCGGAATCTGGCGCGTCCGATCTCGACTGTTCCCGGATGTTTGTACACACGGATGCTGATAGGCGCGGCGTAAACAGCGGAGCCATCGTGATAGGTGCCTCAATTGGCTGCAGCCTGGAGCCGGGAGCCTTGAGCCTTTTTCTCCTTGAAATCCTTTCCACTTCGTTCCCATTCCCTCCTCCCGTAGGCGTAGGGCAGACGTCTCAGCCGTCCGGCTCTAGCGGGTACGCACGGCCTTCCCACTCTCCCCTGTGGTCCCTTCACCGCTAACTCGCCCTTCGTCGACCAGCGAGAGGGATGCGGGAATGCCCTTGATGGCCTGTCTGCTTGTTGTCCACATGCGCATGTCTCCTTGGCCGTGGCCCGCGCACCGCTTTTGACCGTCGTCACTTGCCGCTGTGGATGTGTGATACTCGGCCAACTGGCGGCGAGTGAAATAAGCCGTTTTCCCAGCATCCAGGTTGCACTTTATCCATGCGCGTTACCTAAGGACATGCAGGTCGTGCCAGTTGCGATCACAGTGCCAGAATTGATGTCTTGGTCACTGTCTGCTGAGCCAGCGCAACCCACCCACCCCAATTCGACCAGGGGGAATGAAGCATCCTTGCGCGTTGGGGGCTTGAAATTGGCTGCACTCTGCTTGACACCATCGGGTGCTGCCAGGAAGTCGACGACACCTCCGGGGGGGACTGACCGCCTGGTGGCCTCATGACTTCATCCATCAGGGGTGCCATATGCCATTGTCGCACAATGTCCCTGATGGTCTGGCCTCGCGGAATGTCCAGCAACATGTGAGACGTATCGGCTAGAGCAACTCGTCAACTGGGGATCACTGTCTGCGGTCGAATAGCTCGAAAGAGGCGCTTTTCCGGGTTGGTTTCTGAACCTTGGCAATGATTCCATCATCATTTTAGCGGCACTTGAGGCGCCTGTCCCTTCTGCCCTAGCTGCTGCACAAGCCCCGAAGCGTTGGGAGTCAGGTATCCGTAGTCAGGAACATATGTCTCAGACAAGCCTTGAAACTTGCTTCTTGGCTTTGCTGGAAAGAGTGCTGACACCTGCTCGTTGCGGCGATCCATATCCATCAATTGATCCCTTTGGTGTACGGGACTTGTTCTTTCTAGAGCAGCGTTATGCAGACCGCGATGCCTGACACTTGGCATGCTGCATGGCTCTCCCATTCGATTCACGGTGGCATTGAATCCCGATTGATCGAGGCCGTGCACACCTTCCCTTCTATACTGCGAGATGGTGTCAAACGACCATGATCTGTTTATTATGAGTATCCGTACTCCGTACCGAGCTGACCAGATATCGATGGGGAGAAGACGGCCGAGGTCGAATTCTGCCGGTGAATTGTTCGAATCCGAGTAATAATCAAAAGATCCACCCGTATTCGATCGAATTAGCAGCCTCTCGTTCTGCAGCCTGAAAGAGGCAGAAAGGCGGTGTGAGCAAGACACTTGCCCTGTGTGGACAATGCTGCATGCTGCGAGATTGGTTCCAGCCTCACGAAAAACTCAAAATCCCCCCTCTGGCTTGGGCATCAAATGACAGACGCGAAGGTGTCCCGAAATGCAAAGAACAGCCGAAAGTGACCCCGTTCTAACCATCGGTGGGCCTGTTTGATGGAGAAAAATCCTTGCTGCCGAGGTGTGCTTCCGATATTGGCTGGGAAGTTGTGCGGCGAGGGATCAGAAGAGGGCACAAGCTTGTCAAGAATTAGGTAGAGAGAGAGAGAGAGAGAAAGAGGGGAGTCGTACAGGACCAGGCAGGGAATGATAAGAAAGGAAATGAGGAGGAAAGCATACGGAGTACGGCAGCGACCAAAACCGAAATCGAATGAAGAACCGCTTCGAGCCTTCAAGCCGCCCGCTATCCGCGATAAAGACGCGAAGGTAAATCGAGGTACCACGCGATATTACCTTGCGGCTGTGAGGTTAGCACGATGACAACCTTGTCTAGCCACGCTTAGTCTTGGGCCATCTTCTTCTCCTCATTGCCCTGCAACGACGCTCACAGCGTTCATCGATAGCACCGGAAACGATTAACCAGTAACTCGTTGCCAGCACAACTCTAATTGAGTATTGTCTGCGGTTGTGCAACATTGTCCACGAAGATATGCGACAGTCCACGATAGCTGCTGACATGGGCTTGTCCAGGCGAGACCGTTCGTAGGCGCTCATACGATAGTTGGACAGGGTCAAGCCATTGTCCTATGGCGTGGGTTGGACGGTAGGACTGTCGTGCTCCGAACGGCATGGTCTGCACATCAGTGGATACTTCCACGTGAGGCAGTATCGACCAGAGTGCAGACATCGGGGGCGTACAAAGTTTTAGTCTGCACGTGGAGTGCCTCGCTGAGGTGGTATTTGACAAGGGACGTGCGAGCAGAATCCCAGGCCCATGCGAGGAGGGCGTGGAGGGGTAGGCAGGCCCAAAAATCGTAGACGTTATGGTGACTGGCTTCTGTCCCCTCGATCCAGTCTGGTCTAACTGAGTGTTGCAGCGATATTCGGTCGTCCGCTGGGGCATGGTAGGAATCCAGCCATGCCAGGGCCAAGGTAAGCTCAGGTTTTTATTTTATTTTTATTTTCTACTGGCAGCTGTCCAGATAGATTCGACGGCAAGAGAGAAAAGTGCGGTAGTGAGACGACCAACCAGCAGCGGCCGACATGGATGTTAGCCAAGGGAAGAGGAGTAGAGTAGACCTGGGAGTGGCTGTTGTTTCTGAGCTGCATACTTCAGGCAATTGGAATCACGGCATGGATAATGCGGTCAGAAACTTTGGGTCTGATGACCTTGTCCTGCTGCTTGTCGTCCCGAGGTATCCGCGCGACCTCGTCCCGACTTCTCGTGTTCCTCTGGAATCCGCGACCCAATATGGGTCTATCCTGTCTAAATGTCGTTTCTATCATTCGCCCTTTTCGCATGGCTGTAATGAGTATAGCTGTGTATAAGGGAACCTCCTGCTGTTGCTGTCCCGTTCACCCATTGACGGTGATAATACGCCAGCTACGGAGTGATACCTCAGTCGGAACAGGGTCAAATTATGCGCCGGAACAAACCGGGTGTATGATAGAAACAAAAGGACGCAAAGAGACTGGTACCGTTGGAAAAACTTGTCGTCGGGCAAAGCGGTTGCCGGCCCTGCTTTGGGTGTCGGGGAATTTACGGTTGGTTGTCAAATTCGTGATTCATAGGGACGCATGATTGAGATCGATGCAAAGGATGATGCCGACACCGTGCGTCATGACGGTGACAATTCCGAGAATGAAGTGTTTGGACGGCTGAGGGGAGTGTGGCTGCGGGCTGACGGGCGCTTGCCGCTGTCGAGTTTGTTATTCGGGCGAAATGTACGGATGGATATTTGACGGCGCATGATATGCCGCTTTGACTGGTCGCAGCTGGTTGGATTTGTTGACAGTTGAGCGTGCGTAGCAAAAGGAAGCCAAAGTCGTACGCCTCCATGTCAAAAGTTGACATGTTGACATGTTGCATGCTGGAGTAAATTCTGGGCGGCTGATTTCCTCGTGTATCCGTACACCAACTTCATGGAGGCTCTTGCTGATCGTGACTTGGGGCGGCGCAGTGACTAGCTAGTTGTCCCGGAACACTGGGCCGGACGACTTGTCGTTGGAACAAACGTGCAAGCATGTACACATCGCCGCTAGCACGTTTGGTGGTCGTCCCGAGGATGAATTGGCGCTGAGCATCCATACAGAGTACGGGCTTGTGTGTACGGAGACGGTGCATGTACTCTGTAGGGACGTGGTAGGTATGTAGGTGCGAGGTCAAGGGCGAGAGAAAACGGCCTTTGGACTGGTTTGGTTTGGTTTAGTTTTGGACTGGTTCCCGTTCCTTCGGGGGGGCGACCAACAACTTTGGAGAAGAAGCAGACACTGTGCCCCTCAGGGGCATTAACGCTTGCTTAGTCGAATCCCAGCGGTTTGGGTCGCTTGAGATCTGTCGACGCCCTAACCTTCGCGACAGATCACTCTAGCAGCGGGCTGCGTTTCTTGGTGAACCCCCAAACCAGGGTGTCGGGATTTGCCTAGTTCATTCGAGTATAGCCCATAGATTGGGGATTGGGGGACCTGAGCTTCTTGAGCACACAGTAGCCCTAAAAGCACATTGGCGTCGGTTCCTGGGCTGGCGCTGACGCCGGCGCTTTTGTAGGAGCCACGGCCACATTGGCATTAACTTGGGCAAGGCTGTCTCGACATGCCTGGACGAGGGACGGTCGGTCGGTAGTGTGCAGGTTATGGGTAGAAAAGGAGCCCGCATTGTTGGTGAGCCTAGCGATGATAGCAAGCAAGCTCGCAAGGGCGGCAGCATATGGACAGCAGCGACAACGGCGACAACGGCGGCAATTGTGATGTGATGATTGTAATTTGTAACGCATTCAATTGCTTGCAGGACCGGGGGGGGGGGGATCAAATTCGTATCGGACGCCGAACGACTCGGTCGTGGAGTGAGCGGTGAAAGGTGTGACTGTGAGCGTAAACATCCCAGTGACCGGGAGGGGGGGCGGCTAGACAGTCTCGAGGTCGAAAGTCGAACACGTATTCGTAGACGATGATTTGAACATGGAGACAGGCAGGGCGCAGGCATTGCAACGGTAGGTGGCGGTTAAGTTGTTGATTTGCAAGCAGGGAATCGGGAGTCGGGAGATGACAGACTGAGGTGCGCAACTAAGGTGCCGTGGCATGCGTGGGTGCACACTCCGAGACGCAGTAAGGTACTCCGTCGGTAGGAAGGACTGGCGGGAGGATGTATGTTCCATTGGGCGAGTGGCGAAGCGGGCGAGAGGCGGCGGGCACGGCGGGAAAGAATGACCCAAGAATAACGGGATGCAAATGTCACTGAGGGATTTCCCCGAGGTCCCGCCACTGGCAGAAATGGGACCTGGCAGGTTCAGATTCGAAAGCAAATGGAAGGAAACGTGAAGACAACTGGAAGCACTCCTTCTCCGCTCCTGCAACAATTGAGCTCGGGAAAGGACAAAAGTGATGAGTGCTTGCAGAGTACATATTACTGTACTTGCCTTTTTGCCGTTCCATTTCACCAGCTGACAAGAGTTCTGCCTCAGGTACAATTAATTCAAGGTACCTTAGGTAGGAGGTATGCGAGGTACTTCTTGAGTTGGAAGGCACGAAAGGCATTACTTTTGTAACGTGGAAAGTGTGTGGGCATCTATGCGCCAAAGCGATTGTGCTGCGCACCTACTCCGCAAGCAAGTGGTAGTAACATACCAAAGTTGAAGGTGCCGTGGGCGCCTGCTTCATGGGGAGGTGGCACGGTGGTACACATGGAGGACTGCCCAGGAAAGTGCCATAAATGCTTGAAGTGCATGATGACCTGATCCAATCAGACGTGGACGGCTACATGCCCGTGGAAGTAGCCCTCACCTCGATTTAGAGCGAGCTCACCGAGAGGAGGCACGACCGCTTCCCAGCGGCCACTTCCGGCCGAGGCCGTGCCACGGTCGTCCGTCCACCTTCACCGTCACCGTCGCCATCGCCGTTGTTACTCGGCAAGAGCAGTCACGACCCGTACTCGCTTGCAAGTTCCAGCCCTTCCATTCTCACAGTACTCCGTACGGAAGGAGTACCTTATGGATGCTTCTTGTCCAAAGTCCCACCTCAATTTTGGATAACTGCACTTTTGTTTTCAGTTCCACCGAGGCATGTGTAATTGATATGTGCCATTGTTACTGCCCAGTATCCGCCTCCTCCGATTTTCGACTCCGCATGCATCTTTTGGTTGTCTTGGAAGGCATCTTTGGTATGGAGTCGCGGAGTACCCACTTCTCATCATTTTGCAGTGCAAATTAACCTGGATGGCAAGGTATGAATGTCGAATGCTCGCCGCTGCAGTCATACAGGGTCGCGGGCTGTCACAATTAAGCGAGGGGTAACCAGGAGGGAAAAGGAACAAGCCCTCACATCACATCCCCTGCTCTCTATCCGTACGTAGTAGTGAACATACACCAAGTCGCTTGGGTTTCTGGGAAGCTGTTCAGGGTCTCCCGGTGCTCCAGCCCTCTGGAAAATTTCTGAAGCAAGGAGAAGGGAACTAACTAGTGGGCTACAGCCTACCGACCTTACAAACAGGGCGGGGGAAGCAGCACACTGTGGTGATTGACATGGTGGAGGGCGAGGTTCAAGGTAGAGGGTACGGAGGGGAAAAGGAGAGGGGAGGGGGGGCATTCCCATGGATGGGATGCAGGGCAAGCTGGATGCTGCAGCTCCTTGCAAGGAACCCAATAAAGGTTGCCTGGAGGGCTGGGCCACCCCTTCCCATCTTTTACCCCCCAATTGCCCCCCTTTTCCTTTGACTTCATTGACTGAGCGCTTGACCAGGACTGGACCTCACCAAAGCCGTGCAGTGCACCACGCAATGCGAAATACGGACTATGGAGGACAGAAACAGAAAACCTCGAATCTGGTCGACTTCAAACCCTGGCATCTGAGCCCCCTCCCCCCCTCCGTCTCGCGTTTGGCTCGGTATTCCTGGTAAATCCGCCCCCGGCAGATCTCAGCTGCGACAAAGTCGACGTGGAGGGGTGGCCCGTCCGTCCGTCGTCTCCTCGCGAGGTCGCCCGGCCTTGAGGTGCCCGATGACAGGGGGGATGCACAAGCGAAGGGAAAACCCCATTTCCAAAATCGAGGAAGCGGATGCCGCTAGCTGCCTTTCCAGTTAGCACCAAACAGCCCTCATCCCCGAGGCTATTCTCTCCAAGCGAATTCTGACCCTCTGCTCTCCAGGAAACCCACCCTTCACGAATTGGAAGCCAAACGTGTATCGATTGTCGATTGTCGAATCTCCGGCTTCCCCAAGGACCTCGTCTTAACGATGTGTGACACCTTATCACTCCCGTGACGCGGCACGTGTACTCTGTCTCCCTATAGAGTATGAGGGTATCTCTACCCAGATGGTGCCCTCCCCCGAGACTCCATCGTAGATTGAGCTTCGCTGCGAAGCAAGGGACTATTCCTTGACGAATTTCGGCAAAACGATCGGAATTTAGCACTCGCGTCAAAAAGCCTACCTCCCAAGATCTAGATTTCAAGATCGCAGAGACGACACGAGCTTCAATGTTCGCATTGAGAGGCACGGATAGATTGAAGTCACCAGGCTAGCTGTATTCAGCTGCCTTCTCCAGTGCTGTCGTCTTCCTGGTTGTCCACACGTTCAATCATCACTAGCTACCTCAACTACGTCGCGTCGCGTCTCGCTCGATCGCACGCTCCTGGTGGATGGGAAACTCGAGACAGGATGAGCCAGCCTCAGCGTTCGTGTCTGCACCAACACCAGCGCACACCTAGGCCCTAGCTTGGGGAATCGTTTGACAAGTCGAACTTGCGGGGAAAACGCTAAGATAGCCCCCCGAGCTACTGGTGGGTGACAGGGACAAGCTCGACATCAGACACTTTGTGTAAGGAGACATGTGCCGTCTCAAGCAACAGGGCTTACAACTTATATCGCTTCAGGGGAATTTGTCTGCAGACTCTAGAGTGAGTATCAAGACGAAACTGTGACTCTCGTGTAGTGGATGGAATCTTTCTTGTACCATTCATGCCCGTTTCTTGGTGGCGCACTCTTGGTCAGCTCAAGGGGGCTCGTCCATAAAACGTGTGCTGATCGACGAGATTTCTACATCGTAAATACGATGGTGGCTTCTTCTGCTACAGTCCGAGCCCCTCATCTTCAACCTAGGCGTTCACCAAGCCGTTGGAAACGTCCGATATTCAATCCTCGAGGCTTGGCCAGAAAATAAGTTACGCCTTCGTCCCATCAGCAGCTATTCTTGTCGCAGCCCCGTCTATAGACGCAGCTCAGGAATCGACCTTATGGGCTCCACACCAATTGACAGATCAAGTGTAGGAAACCGCCGAACCCCTAAGCATCATAGTCTTAGGGTGATCGCCAGACCAGAGTTTAGACCACCGTTTGATCCCAAGCCCTGGACCGGCGCGCCAAGATAACCTTTGAGCGCGACCGAGGTGCCAGCAAGATCCTCGGTGACTATACAAACCTCTAGAACTCTATCAAAGTGCGGTTCTGCGTGCAGGCTATTACCGCCCTCACGAGAAAACGCACAGGACCACGCAGCATTTGTACGGATAGGACAACAGCGCAGAAACGGAGCGAATTCTGTAGCCAAGCATTTGTACACCAGACCGGACCAGGAGATAGTGCCAAATGACCGACGGTGTCAGAACCAGGTGAGGAGGGAATGTTGGTTTCCATTTCGTCGCTGCTCACAGACCACAGGCCACAATCCACAACCCACCCGAATCCACTCGGTTGTATGTATTTCGTACTTGGTAGCACAATCTCTGTCGCGGGCGGAGAATATTCTGGTAGCAGAGCCCCGTCACGGACGCCGGGGCTAGTGTTGTGTTCAAGACGCCGGGCTCAGAAGTCCCCGAGGCGTCCATGCTGTTTTCGTCCACCTGGATCGACTCTAGTGCAAGCATTCTCTCAACTCCGCCCGAGTCAGGGTCCCACACTCGCGGAGTCTAGATCGCGGGCACCACACGGCAAGTCCCTCTTCAATGTCTCCCCCTTGGCCGGCACCATGAAAGGCGGCCTCTGCTTTCTTTGTTCTCTGTCCGTCGGAAGAGGACACGGACAAGTTACGGGAACGCGTCCAGACAACCGGCTGCTCCTTGCCCGATGCAGTCGAGTCTCAATCGCAATTGTCATTCCTCAGCTGCCGTGCCGAGACGGCCCCGGCGTTGGCGATGACGGATCCGACAGTGCACAATGGCTTCGGGAGACGGCAGTGCTCGTACTGCTTCCTTACGGTACGCATAGTCTCTGGCCATGGTCAGCGAACATGTATGCACAAACGAGGTACCCCACGCATCTACACTAGGCTTCCGTCTGCAACTTGGGACATCTGGCTGTCTGGGTCGCTGGGACGTGTGCATCTCGTCGGGTTTGGGTTTTGGTGATTCGGATATCCAAATTTGCAGGTGTTGGCAATGTTTCTGCAGATGCCAATGCAACCGTAACTGAGCATCTCGACGATCGACAAGGGCATCAAGCTGAATGGCCAGTGATAGATGGAAGAGTCGGCACATCAGCCCCCCTCCCAAGCCCTCAAAGCCAAGGCGAGGCAAGGTGCAGGGGAGGGGGAGCATCAATCTTCACCTTGCATCGCTCGACCTGGTTCGTCGATGGCATGGGGGGGAAAATTGAAGGGAAAAAAATGTGAGAGAGAGAGAGAGAAGGAGGTGGACCCGGTCACGGACTCCTTCCCAGTTCCCACCCACTTCATCATCCATCAGGCTAGCGCAGAAAAATGGCGCAGATCTCTGTTCTCTGGGGCCTAGGCTCTTGGTGTCCACTTTGGATCCAGAGGAGAAGGAAAGACCCCACCGTCTCGCGTTCCTACCTTCTCTCATCGCAGACCCCAGCATCCATGCCCCCCCCGAGTTTCCCAAATTCCCAAGTCCCCAAGTCCAAAGCCAAGCACCAGCCTGAAGTCGACATATCCCTTTGACCATCTCACGAGACCTCGCAACTCTGCGTCGTGCAGTGTGCGTCAATGTTCATATACAAGCCCCATATAAATATATACCTCTCTCCGCGAATACCCACTCTGGGCCGCCGCCGGGCCACCTGCCTTACCTACCGCAACACACACCAGATCCGACATTCCCACCTCACATGCCTGTCGCTTGGGTGGTCCCTCTTTTTTTTTTTTTTTTCCTTTCTCCCTTTCTCTCCTTTGCCCTTCCTCTTGGCTATCAATTCTCTGTTTCCTTCCGCTAGATGCTTGATGCAATTGGAGGTGAGGTGGATGCTTGAGAATCTTCGCTTTGTAGCTCGTCAGCTCACGTACCTTGGACACAGGGTCGCCCAAAAATTCATCACGATCCGCAGCTGTATTCGTAGACGAACACCGTCACTCTGTCCCACTCGTCGGTATTTCCCTCGCGCCCAGCTGGCTGCATCTCAATTCCCGGTATGGACCACCACAGCACGAGCAGGGCACCTAGGCCACGCCGCACACCAAAGACCGTCAGCGGCTCCTCCCAGAGTCCCAGAACCTAACGTCAGGGAACCCCAAGCCAGCTGTGGGCATCCAAATGCACACCACATACACCACACACACCACAAGGACCACATCTACGACCAGGGGAAGGGAAAATTTCAACCCACGGTGCCGCTTCTCTCAGCTCCGCGGCCGCGGTCTTCCGGCCCTGGACCTTGCTTGCTGGTGCCTCGACCTGCCCTGACTCCCTCCTACCAAAAACTCGACTTTCAGCTTGAGCGCTATTTGCTCAGTACCGAGGCACACGTTACCATCAGTTGCGCACGTTGAATGCCTACGCCTACCGCCCACCAGAAGTACGTCGATCCGCAGTTGCACACCTACCTACTACACACCACACACTCATTTCAGCCCGCGCTCCCGTTCCGCGACGACGCGGCTGTGAGTCTCCTATTCTGGCTCTATCTCCTTCTTCCCCATCCATGTGTGATGTGCCGTATAGTGTGCCTACACTTGCCAAGCTCTGTAGCGAGAACCTTACCCGCTGCCCTTTTCCAAACTTCAGGTTGCCTATGCAAGACCCAGGCTCACCAGCCGTCGCCGGCTTGTCTCCCTCTCCCTGGCGCTATCCATACGCATGATCAAGATCAACCCATCCTGGAGCGCTTGCAGACGGTCGATTCGATTTGTACCTACCGCAGCCAACCCCCATCCTAATTCTTCCTACGCTTAACTGTACGAGATACAAGACACAAGAAAGACGGTACACTCGTTGTGCGCCTAGGCATGCTTTCAGGAGCAAAGGGCATTGCGCAAGTTTTGAACTTGCTCGAAATCATGGCCAAGACCATGCCCAAGCCTTAGAATTTGCCGTCTGGAGGGAGTGCCACGCATCCGGAGGTGCAGAAGCAGGTCGTGCAGCATCCAGCTCGGCATGTCGTCGTGTTCTGGAGACTGGCTATGCCGTACCGCGGACAGCATGTCTTGGGAGTGCGTGCGGATGTCATGCCAGCCAGTCAGATGGCTTGCCACGCCCTTCACCGGCCACACGCCCCCTTTCGCCGCCACAACTATTTGATTCCCATCCGCTGGGAACCTCGACCGTAAAAATCCCAAAGGTTGAGCAGGGAACAAGGGCTCTCGATTCTCATGGTTGGGGCCCTGCTCGCTGGCTGCCACGCTCTCGTGGCTGTGGCTCTCTGTGTCTTTGCTTTCTCAACTGCGGTGGTTGACGGTCCGCTGCTGCTAGCTACCTACCTTCGTACGCGGCTTTGCTCGCTGGCCAGGCCTGCACAACCATGACCGCCGCCTTTGTTATTAACCAGCTCTTCGTGTGCAGGAAGATATTGCACAGCGATCATGACTGCGTATTGAGTACGGAGCGCTCACGTCCTCGAAAAGACTAGGATCAGGCCCGAATGCGTTTTCTACCCTCGGCCACAATGGGCCATCCGGCACCACCCATCTTGTTCCCTTCTCTCCAAGCATTTGGTGTGGCGTCGTGAAAGGGGAGGGGCGGTCTCAACTATCATTCCTCCATTGAGAAATGGAAATCCAAATACCAGTAAAAATCCACACCGACCGCTGCATCACGGAGCAAGTCATCGCCGACCCATCCTATTCCATAGACACACGGCATCCTGGACTTTTCCTCGATGAGTACAGAAGAGTCAAGACGGTACGTTGCGTTTCGTTCAATACTCTCTAATCAGGTATTTGTCCGTAATCGACGTCTCTCACGCAGTAGTTCTTTGTTTGTATGTTTCTCGTCGACCCCTGCTCGCGAGTCAAGACGGCGGATCCGACAGCGGGCAGCTGCAATAGGTAGCTCTCGGGAAGGGGTCCCGATCTTTAGGTCTAGGTAGCGACCAAGTTGGGGGCAAAGAAAAGAAGCTTTTTGCTCTTTCCAGTGGAATCCTTTAATCAACTCTTCTCGGCAGACTCCGTCACGCGCTGAGAGCCGGGAACAAGACCGAATGCCATTGTGCGATTTTCGTAGACATTGACTCGAATCGACCGAGTTCCTAGTCGACGACTCGATACAACCAACGAGACATAGGTCACGGGAGCCAAGTCATCTTTCTCATCGGGATTTTCGGGTTTCGGTTTTCCACGGGCCACACCTTGGACCCGACATCCTGTCAATTCCAGGTCGAATAATATCATTATTATATGACATTTCTCATTCCTTCTTTGATGGGCGATAAGCATTACGTGCATAGAATTCCAAGGGCATTAGCAAATTTCCCGGCACCTACGGGCATCCCAGGAGGATTGGGGTACCAAAGATTATTAAGACGACAAGCAAAATAAGTGCAAGGAAGGCGCACGTTCCAGCCAGTTAGTTCAACGGCAAACAGCTTCATCGAGCCTGTGGGTGAGCAATATCAATCTGACACGCGACGCGACAAGTAATCTCTAGGTTGTTGCGAATTATCTAGAGTCATTGGAGTCTAGTGTCCAGAGACTAGAGGTCCAGACAAGAAAGGAGGTTTGGTCATTTCATTGATTCGATCGTTTCACCCGTTCCGGTCGGAGTCGAGCGTCGTCCAATGGATGGGAAGACTGGATGAGGGATCGAGGTGCTGACCAAGAAAACGCGAAGCAAGCAGTGAAAGAAGAAGCGACGCCATACGCACAGCCAAGGTCTCAAGTCATTCAGTCAAGCCACCGTACTTTTGGCTAGTCCCGGCATCCAGAAAGCGGCGTCGCCAAGCTAAGGGATCCTCAGCTAGTGAGTTAGTACGCAGAGGACATGCGTCCCCAAGGTGGTTTAGCTGCGAAGCGCACTTTCATCATGCCCCAGTATCGGCATCATCATCATCATCACCACCACCACCATAATTCATCTCCTGTACCCGGGATCCGTAGCGTAACATTGCGAGCGCCCGCGCCGACACCAATCTTCAGACACTGCGGTCAAAGGCCTAGAAGCACCTGCCATCTGCCACCTCATCTGCCACCTGTCAACTCGTATGATTACCAGCTACGTTTGTCTACTAGGCTCGAATGTCTACCGTAGTACTGTGTTTCTATCTACCTTGGGTGTCGACTGCGATGGAAGGAGGGGGGAGGGGTAGGCCACAGGCAGGTATGTAGGTACGTACTCCGTACCGCAGAAAGAATAGGTTGGGAGCCAACAGCACAAAGTACGCAGTTACGTACCGAAAGACGCTCTTGATGTCTTCCTCCTACGGACGGATACAGCCAGGATGCTTTTAGCAGTAAGGAAAGTTCCCAGGAAGGCACGAAAGGCATACCCCTGCAAAGCGAGCAGTGAAGTCTGAACCTCACCCTCACCTTTTTACCTCACCCCCCCAGTCCCGATGCAAGCAGCCCTGTGGGAGACAGAGGAAAAGCACATGGATGATTCTCACCTGTCGCCTATCTACTTTGGGGGGACATCTCCAGTCTCCAAGATTTTGTGACAGGGGTATCGGTACGTACCGACTTCTACACCGTGTCGCTGGGACTGCAGCCTTCTTTCACACCCACCTTCACAGGGCGCATGCTCTTCCCATCTTTCACGGCTGCAGTCACCTATCAACTCACATACCTCAAAGACGAGGGACGACGACGACTGACGACGACGATGATACAACTGACGACCTCGTCTGTACCTCGGAGGATACGTACCTCCTGGTCTCTGCTCCTTATACTCCTCAGTCCTTACTCCTCACACATGTTTATTATCCTTCTATCTGCAATTGGGCATTTGCAAAGGAAAGTAGAGAAAGGGAAATGCCTAGTTACGGAGACAGGAAGATCTGGAGGATAGACGAAGAGGACAAATGCCAAAAAAAGAAGAAAAAAAGAAAGCTCACCTCGCCCTCCTGTTGCTTGATCGGCTCCTCTTCTGAAGTTCTGGGTGTGTGTTTTCCATGCCCATCTTGTGCCGATTCACCAATCACTGCTCGCACTCCCCCAGACTCGGTCGTCTGCCCAGTTACATTTCGGAGCAGTCTCGTCGTCAATTTTCCATTTCCTAGGTATCCCAATAATTGCTGCCCTTGCTGCTCAGTCTGATACTTCCGTACTCCGTAGATACCTGACACCTTATCTTATACGTAGACAAGGTACAGAGGAAGGTGGCCCCCCTCTGCTCTGGCCTCTGGGTTGTAGTGTAAGCATTGCCAATTGGGCAGGGCAAGAGCAACAACCTTGGAAAAGGCAACCATACCCACGACTTGGAGCTGAAGGCTGGAGTCTGGAGTCTGGAGGTGTCTGTCTCCCGGGATTTCACCCTTCCACCTCACTCGTCCATCACTTTCACTCACCCCTTCACTCCCAGTCTTCACCCCCTTCACGGTTCACCCTTCATCCTTCCACTCTCCAACGCATCCTTGCCCACCGCACACTCACAGGCCCGTCGACGCGTCTCCACCTGCTGCAAATCAGCCCTCGCGCTGACCCGTCATTCAGGCGTTCCATTATTTCTCTCTCTCTCTCTCTCTTTCTCCTCTCTCTCAAGCTTACCCCATTCTTCCTATCCCTCTTCCGTCGCAAGTATTAAATTCGTCTTCCTCCCGGGAACGGCGCTAAGATCGAACTCCCCTCGTCATAAACCTTCATTGGGTTTACCCCCTTACCCCCTTCCTTAGCTTCGCCTTCCCCCTTCACATTTCCCACACACTGGTGCTTCACCGAGCTGAGCGAGAAGGAGAAAGAGATAAAGAAAGACCAGACGCGCCAGAACTCAGAGAGTAAGAGAGGCTCACTCGACAACAGAAAAAAATTTACCCCATCTTCATCTCGCTCTTCTTTCATCTCACTACACACACACATACACACACTCACACGCTCCGCCCGCGCGCGCTACTTCTCTTTCCTCTGACTAGCACCACGGGAAAACCGCACTACGCAAGACACACGCACGCACGCACGCACGCTCTTTGCTTCCAGCATTCGGCAGCGGCAGCGGCAGCACGAGCACGTACCTCACTCGTCGACGTCGTCAAGTCGAGTAAAGTCGGAAAGACCAGAGGAAGGAGCATCCACCCTCCGCCACCACTCGTGCCCACCAGCCCACTCACCCACCCATCTCGCCCTCCAGTATCCGTAGACTACGTACCTACGGATACTTTCGTACCAAGGCCAAGGTCAACCACGCCCCCCTACCGCACGAGCATCGAAGCATCAGCACCCACCACTCAGCTACCTTAGCTACCGTACATACAGTCTACGGAGTATTCCTACACCTCTCTCTCTCACCCGACACGACACTACCGTACCTCACCCAGCCTGTCGAAAGCTGTGCTGGCTGTACCAGATTCTCCTCGCTCTTGCTGCGTGTGAGTGAGTGCGCACTGCTCCTGCACCAACCAACGCATCACCCAACTCATCACCACCCTCCTCCGCACTGCAGCACACCGCGCTCAGTCGCTTCTTCTGCGTTGCAGCACCTGCATCCCACAGTCTCCTGCATCCCGCCAGCCAGATCAGACAAGAGTCAGTTGCTTTCTCGGGACTCCCATCTGCCATCTCGTCAAGTCAGGTCCCGACCTCTACACCAGGCCAAATCCAGACACACGCCAACCCCGATCAAAGAAGAGGCACACCCTACGCTATACGCAAAGAGGAACCCTTCGACATCCCATCCTCCTCGCCAACCCCACTCAACCTTTAGTCTCCCTCTCCTCGGTGTACGGAGTACCTACCCTCTCATACGCCTACGGCACTGTTCGCCGCCTTTGGCCCAGGTTCCATACACACACCCAGCTCGTGGGCCTTCCCACCCCTGTCCTATCTCCGATCCAGACGCTAAGGACTCGCTCGGCCTGAACTCAAGCGGAGAGCCCAGCCCATCCATTACTACTTAGCGCACTATTTTAGTGTCGCTCTCCCCAGGCAATACCGTCAACCTCTTTCTCAGCCAAAGCGAGTAAGAGCCAGAGGAAAGAGAAAAAAAAAAGAGGCGTCCTTTCCGTGATCTGGCAAAGACAACGCTATCCTTGCCACTTTGAGAGATCCTCGCTCAGGGCCGTGGCTAGCGACTTTGTTGTCATCACATCCCCATTTAACCATAAACCCGAGCCCTTGGGTGGCCCGCGCTATCTTGGCCGCCATCTTTATACACCATCGTCGCGCCGCCTCAAGTCTCACTTCACTCCCGACATCACTTGTCTACTACTACTACTACTACTTCTTCCATTATCCTTCTTTTCGTTCTTCAAGTGCAAGCCCAACCCGCTCCCGCTACTTGAAAGACCGCTTCCTGAGCCATCCCATCGACCGCTCTTGCATCCGGAAAAGAAGAGAAAAGGAACCGCCTACCACGAACCTGCGAACCATTTCCCCGTTGGCTTGAGAACTAAGGACTCTCCGGCCAATTCTTTGCGACCCAAGACGTTCCTCTGAACTGTAGCATGTTCTTGGTCCCAACGCAACACCAGTTCGTTGACAACCACGCATCACTGCTCTCTTCAGGCTCGCCACAGCTTGGAGGTTCCCGCCCAGAAGCCGCTGCCATCAGCTCGCTCCTGACTTCGCTCAGCACCTCTATGGAACGCAGTGCTACCGAGTACTCGCAGTCAGGTTTGCCTTCGCCTTACCCAAGCAACTGCGGCGACACCCGTTCTGAAGGTTCATCTGCAGATCACGCATCTGCTGCGCAATACGCGACCCAACAAGAGGTTCGCCCCAGCAACTACTCTACCTCAGCGACGCCCACCTCCGAGTACAGCGTCTACCCGCCTTCTGCGCGGTCAGGATCCTTCCCTGAACACATTCAGCGATCATACCATCCTGCTAGCAACCACAACGGTGGCAGCGGAGGCATGGCGCAACAAGCAAGCAGTCCGTCTTTGCCCCAGCAAGATGGCCGTAACCATCAGGTCCCTCTGGCCAAGTCTGACCACGATGTACCCATAGATCCGTCGATAGCGGCGCCGAGTCCTACCTACGCGTACGGACAACACTCTCCCTACGGTCCTCCCCCCGGAGACATGTCGCACTCCTACCAGCATCCCGCCTACCAACCCCGTCCCGATTGGACCGGCTACGGCCAACACAGCGCCGGTCCCCTGACTCCCGCAAGCCACGTCTTTCCCCCGACACCGAGCTCTGCCCCTCCTCAGGGACGACCCAGTCAGGTAAGTGAAGGTAGCAGGCGATGAATTCAGGTGTGCCAGCGCGTCAGGAGGAAAAGTTTGCGCCGACTCTATTTACGGTAACTCATCCGAGCAGTGCTCTGCGCTGCAGGATCTGAGAGGCAACCATCCAAAGAGAGGGGGTTCTTTCAGAACTAACTTGGCAGCACGGCCGTTGGCGCAGGGTCGGAGACTGGCACACGCGCGAAATGTCGTCCAATGGAGGAACCAGTGTACTGACGTAACAGTTTGGCAACCAGGTATACTCTTTCGTTCCAATTCCCGGTGCCCAGCAGCACAAGCGACCCCGTCGACGATATGAGGAGATTGAGCGCATGTACAAGTGCGGCTGGAATGGCTGCGAGAAGGCTTATGGCACATTGAACCATCTCAACGCACACGTCACAATGCAGTCTCACGGACAGAAGAGAACACCTGAAGGTACGTTTTGCTGCACAATCTAAATCCCGAGTCGTTGCTGGTGGCGAATTTTGTCGAAATCGCGTTCGCGTTCACGCTGCCAAGCGGTACGCGGGACTAGCGTCGTACATCCCGCAGTTTAGCGAGCCGTGGTTTTTCGCTTGTTTGACCCAGTGCCATCCATGCACATGGCCTAGTGTCCGCGACAAACTTACGATAAACGCGTCAAGACACTCTTGCCGCAATTCACGGAGGCTAACATTATGGGAAACAGAGTTCAAGGAAATTCGCAAGGAATGGAAGCAACGTAAGAAGGAGGAGGAGGCCGCTCGCAAGGCCGAGGACGAACGTCAGCGTCAAGCTGCGGCCGCTGCACAGGCCGCTGCCCAGAACGGTTCAGGTGATCCTCAGTCTGCACCCGACGGCTCATCGTCAGCTTCTGCATACGCGCCTGGTCGCCAGGTCCAGTTGCCGCCCATCGGATATCAGCCTTCGCAGTACCCTGCGCCCCCGTCTGGAGGTGTTGCGCAGCAGCCTCTGCCCGAGTACAATGGCTCCCACATGTACTCGGCCAACTACCAACCTCAGTCTCCCTACGGCCAGCCGAACCAGAGCATGTACAACTCACGTGAGTTTCGAATCGTCCGTGTGACTGACCTCGGCCAACTAACTGTATAGGCAGATAACGGTGCTCAGGCTTCAAGCCACTGAGGACGGCTGATACGCCAACGAAAAGGACCCAACCGTAATGATGAAAGAGGAGATGAGCTTGTACATTATCGGGTTCCCTTTCACACGACGACAGCCGCACATCCGTAAATGTCTATACTACGAACTTTCAACTTCGTTTCTTTCGGCTACTAGACGCGCGGCAAAATTCTGGTTTACGAAGCGATATCCGCCACTTGATGGCTTTGGGATTTTCACGTTTCGATCGAGTACACGCACAGCATGGTTTCGATGCGTTACCAACATTTTCACAGGCGCCTCAGGCACACCCGTCTGAGGCTTGATCATTGACATCGCGATGCGATGCTAATGTTTCTTCCTCGGTTTTCTTTTCCCCACATAAGATGATGCATTGGGCAACGGCTTTTTCCTTGGACCGGTGTGGTTTCTGCATTTACGAGAACGGTTGAGAGGGGTCATGATTTGACGAAACGGGTGGAGGCTCGCTTTGGTTGGCCATTTATGGTCTCAGTTTGGAGAGGGTTTCTTGACATGGGCGCAAACCGGCTCCGATCTGAAAGACGTCACGGGCTCGGCATTGATCTCGCAGCAGTCTTACCCCCGAGCAATCGAGGACAAAGATGCTCTGTGATGATTGGGAAAAGGACGACCGGCCTGATGCCTGGGGGGTTCAGCACGATCGACGCCCCAACTCTCCATCCTTTGCAGACGATACCTTTTTCCTTTTCAAGACTTGGGTCCCTCGAGGGAGCTGCTCTTCTCGGATGGCGATAAGGATTTTCGGAAAATGGGGACTTTTTTTCTCGGTAGAGGGCGAAAGCACAGGATTGGCAAGGACGGACCTTTGGAGTGGCCGAGATACCTACACATACACGGACGTTCAGGGCGTCGACAGAATGCGTTTGACAGTTGATTTGCTTTTTCGCGGTGGAAAAGGAAATGTAAAAGATTTTTGAGAAAATACACCTCTTTCACAGCATTACATACCTACATGGCAGTCTGACTCGTGATGTAACTCACAACTGAGCACAACTAAGCTATGAGTGGTGATGAATTACCCAAACCTGCAATGACAAAAACCAAGGAGTCAAAATTTGGACGAACACCGTGTGTACAGTGAGGCTGAAAGCTGAAAGAAGCTGAAAGCCAAACTGGATTGTTGCAGAATTGGCATTTTGGGGGAGGGGAAGGGGGGGGGGGGGGCAAGGATATATCGGTGTTGAACCGTCGTCTAATGACGCAGATGGCAAAGTGTGGGCGTAATGGTTGGTAGCACCATTCCCCTTGCAAGCCTAGTTTTATTTTTCTTCATCAAGCGGCATTGCACTTCTTACATGCATGGTCGACAAGGATTTCGCGGGGAAAAGAGACAAGGGTTCAGTTTTAGGATCTTTTGTGGTTTGTTGGTTCGTTCCCAATGTGTTGGTGTTTGGTGTTGGTGTTGGATTTTTTTTCTCGCCAAACGGTTTTAGTGTAGAGCTGGGTCAGCTAGCGCTGGTAGGTAAGGCAGGCTGGGGCGGAGGGAGGGAGGGGAATGGAGGGGAGGGGAGGAGCGGGGGAGGGAAGCTAAGCTGGGTTTTGGCTTAGTAGGTTGGCTCGGAGAGAAAGGATCTATGTGTAACTGACGCTACGGGAGTCGGTCGGTCGGTCGGTCGGTTTGCTCGCGTGTGCATGAGTGTGTGTGTGTGGAAGAGTATGTGTGTGTACGTGTGTGGGAGCCGTGGTGACATGAGGATGGATGAGTGGCGCTGCTTATTCTTACGTTGATGTGAATGAGGGGTTGTTTGTGGTAGGACATAGGTGCGGTGCGGATAGCTGCATGGAATAAGGTAGAAGGAAGGGGTGTTTGTTTGACGAATGACAATGGGATTGTTGCTTTGGTTGTTGGTGAAGAGTGTTGGAATGAGGACCTGGTTAAGTGAAGCTCTCGAGGTGGCATCTTGGTTTTCCTCATTATTCTCAGGGTCTCTATGATTGTCAAGGTGTATGTATCGCAGTAACGGGGGAAAAGAAAAGGCAGAAAGAGAGGACAAGGGAACAGGAGAGGCTGCCGAAAAGAGTTTTTGAGTTGCGGGACCGGACATACATGTGAAGTTCCGGGAGTTTGTTAGCCAATACACTTCCAAGGTTCCCGGTCTTATAATGCATCTGCACTTCAAGGGAAGAAAGGCAAAGTCGGAAGAAGAGGGGGGGGGGGGGGGGGAAGGACGAAAGTAGAGTTCTGGTTATTGACGGGTGATTGACAGGGGCCGCTGCTTCTTTTGAAAAAGCTTGTGCAAACCTTCGGCTTGCTTGTTTGCCTTCCTCTCTGCTTCTATCGATGTTTTCCTTTCGAGTTCTGTGCATATGCAGGATTCGGTGGGGTTGGAGAGTGAGGACAGACTTGCTGGTGACAACGAGGCGTTGCTTCTGCCCCTCCTTTCGAGGTGGAGGGATTGGGATGTCGCGGATGTCTAGGATGGAAAAGAGTCGGTGAGCATGTGTTGGTGTTGGTGTTGGCGTTTAAAATAGGGTCAACGCAGTGCTTCTTTTCCGACGGAATGCTGGTTGGCTCAGATGCGATGACGAGGGAAGTGCGAGGGAGCACAACCTTATGGAACCTTGAGTAAGGAAGGAGCGATGCAGTCGGTGATACAGGTGAGAGGGGGTGCGTATGAGAGAAGGAACATCATGTGCACCTACGTTGAATTTATTTTGGCGGCGACGACGGTGCGAAATGATTATTGGGTCAATTATCGAAGTCACTTCGCTCAAGGTATTCCTCGTACACGTACACACACCCACCCAGAAAACCAATACGCCGAAGGGTGCGAAGTGCTGCATCCAAACGGCCGGTATTTTTTTTGTTGTTTAAATTTTGGGTTGTGTTGTACTCCGGGTACAGGAATCAAATAAGCAAACAAACAAACACCAGGTCACCTTTGCGGTTTTAAACAGGACGGCACAGCGGACCCCTCTTTCCCTGTTTTTTCCCGTTGGTGGCTCAACGGTTGTATTGGGGGCCGCGCCAAACACACGAGACCCTGCATATGGGCTCTTGTTTTTTTTGATTGAGTTTGCTTGCTCCCTTTTGGCGCCGATGCGGTTGTGGAGTTTTTATGGTTTGGAAAATGGAAAACCCGAGTGAATGGAACGGCGGGGTGGTGACGGGAATTCGGGGGCAGGGCACAGGGTTAAAGATGCAGGAGGTGAAGAATGCTTCTTTTTTTTCTTCCGCATTTAATCCTTGGTGTCGATGATACTAGCGTTCATGTTAGTTTATTGCGTTTAAACTACATCCCGTAGTCTCCTTTTTCCTTAATGTCAGGTACACGTGTCAAGCACCCGTCTTGTTTTGTGTTTTTTGGCCCCCAATTGTAACGTGAAGGGACCATGCGATGCATGGGAGAGGGAAAAAAGTCGGGGGTCCCGGAGTGGGTTCTTCTACGGATATCGTGGACGGGTTGGTGGTGGTGGAGAGTTTTCTCTGGTGGTAGTTTGTTTGTGGGATGCGGGTTTTCCGAGTTCCGGAGGAAGGTGTGGGGATGGGGAGGATTACGGATGTCGCTTCGGGGCGGGGCGGGAGGGTAAGAGACGGGAGAAGAAGACGTTGGTTGCTTTACGGAACCGAACGGCGGGTGGATGCTCCACCAAGTGGACGGTGGGCATTTTTGGGTTGTTTGTCGGTTTAGATGTACCCGTATCGATGCCGCTGTTCGTCCTCCGCACCTGACCCCAATTCTTGGGACGGATTAACGGAATGGCAGTCGGGTCTTGTTTTGACATTCATGGCGGGAGCTAAAGACGGGTAGCAAGCACTCTTTCTCCCAAGTTGCGACCCAGACGTTTCTCGTTGGCTTGCTTCCTCGCCCCACGACCACGGTCATGCACTGAGGTAGGTGCTCGCCTGGAGCGATGAATGAGTACCTAGTAAGATTGCAACGCTGCTCTGAGGCTCGCTCGTCCGCGTTGTGGTTGCGAGTCACCCAAGTCTCCTGAAGCTTCGAAAAGACAATCCACCTTACTTACCTCAAGCTCATTACCGAGGCGCTCCAATACTTAAGCCTACGGACCTGAGAATCTACAGTGCTGAGTCTCCATTTTGGCGGCCCTGGCGGTCCGGTAGTGTCGTTCCGCCTCTCCCACCTTCCACCACCACCACCACCACCACCACCCAGGTGAGATGGGTAATCTTAGCAGAGGTTACGCATGACGTAGTCTGCAGTTCTCAAACCTGGAACATGTACCGATACAGCGGGCATACGACAGCAGCATACGAGTCGCTGAAGTATCGCATACCTAACACCCTCTGGCCCCTTCCTTCCTTTTGTTTTCGCCGGGTTGCCGCATTGTCTCGAACGGAAACGAAGCTAGATGAGGGGAAGGTCTGGACCCGTCTATTCTTGTTGGCAATTTGCTGTCTACCTCATCATTGTCTGAGGGAAGGAATCCCCCGGGTGAGATGGAGGGGGAAGGAAGGGGGGGAGGTCAAGATGGATAAGCATGGGAGGAAAAAAGGTAGGTAGGCCGCACCAGACGTTGATAAATCTTGGTTGCTGCCTCGGCAGGGTCACATTCCTCGATCTTTTTCTCTCTCTTTCCATTGCTCTTGGATTTTTTTGTACCTTCCAGGTCTCGCAATCCGGTCGCGTCAGGGCTTGCTTTGCTGCCCCGCGTGCCCTCCGTCGCGTCTTTTGGCCGGAACAACCTCAACCTTATCTTACCTCCTTGTCCTTGACTGCTACAGACGACCTGCTCGATATTTCTCAACTGCACCTCGTTTTTCCAACTACTTCGGCGTCTACCTACGGATACCTACTTTCCTCAAGAAAGTGTATTTTCATAGGCTGGATTTGCCCAACGACCATTCCAGGCAGCCCCGAGCTGCATCATTGTCACTCGTTCTTCCCTCGTCTTTTTCACCGCCCACTCTTCTTCCGCACCCCATTCCATCGCCAGCACAACAATAAAATTCCTCGGTGGGCCTCTGTATTTTTCCAACAACGACTAGCTCTTCCTCGAGAATCGTCAGCAACACGTCGCTTTCGTAACAGCCATTCAGCTATATCATTCGCTTGATACCCATCAGAATTAGGCCGCATTTTCGCCGGGCCTCGAGTTATCCGACGATTCTCAACTAAGGTTCGGACGGTAGTGGGGACCACTCCCACCATCTCCAAAAAGATGACCGCCGGCGCCTCCATCGACGCCCCTCTCCGGCCCGCCATTTTCAAAAACTCGGGCCTGCCAAAGTCCGACTCTTCCGTCTCCACCAGAGCTCCATCCTGCAAATCCATCCGCGTCACCGGTGCCCATCCTCTCGGCTCTTTGCACGTACACCAGCCCGTCGACTCCTCCCTGTCGCAACAAGTCACCATGGACCCCAACACCGTTCCCGACGATGACGAGCCCCCGCCTCTAGCACCCATCGAGTCTCTCGATGTCGCCGCCAGCGCCAACCAACAGGCCTCTCAGCATGAACACCAGCTTGGAGGAGGAGATGTTGTCCTTGTCATGGACTTGCCTGCTCACTTCACCGTGGGCTACGATTCTGTCTCCTTCACCGCCCGCGAGTTCGTCGGCGTCAGAGACATTCCTCCCGGCTCCCATTTCTTCTGGGTCTCGGAGACGGAGGCTAGCACCACGCGCTCCGGTTTCTGGATCATCAGCACGGCCACCGAGAAGATCCACGTCATGCAATGGGACAAGTTCAACGAGGTCATCGGCGAGCCCGCCAGCCAGGTCGAAGCCCGTTTCCAAAAGGATAACATCCAGGACATTTACCCCAAGCTGGCCCCCTACCAGATCCGCGCTCTCAATGCCACCGTCAAATCGGCTACATCCGGTTCTTCCAGTCCCGAACCCGAGTTCGCAAGAAACACCAACATTTGGCAGCAGCTGACCAACGCCATCACCGCGCCTCTCTTGAGCAGAATTACCGCCCGCCAGGCCAGTGACTGGGCTGTGCATACCTCGGACCGCGTGAGGGGGGCGCTTATGCTTCCCGCTGAGCTCGAGCTAGAAAAGAGAATGCCCAGTGTTGTCGCGAGCACAGAGCTGAACTTTACCTTTAGCCAGGGTGCCAAAACATACGATGCAGAGAGTGTCGGCGCTCAGCGTACTGAGCAGGCAGTTGATGCGACTGCTCACTTGCTTTCCAGCGGTGCCACCGACGATGACGTTGTCGGTGAGCTCCAGTTTGCCTTCATTGTCGGTATGCATCTTGGCAACGAGGCGTGTATCCAGCAGTGGTGGCACATGCTGGTCTCCATCATATTGAAGAGCTACACACTGCCTCTCAAGCGCCCGGAGCTGGCCCGCTCGCTCCTGCAGACCATTACGGCTCAGCTTGTCTACAACGAACGCTACCTCGATGGGTCTGTTCTCGACTACGGTCCTTCATATGCCCGTGACCTACGCATGGCCCTCATTGTCTACAAGCGGCGACTCAACGAAGTGCTCCTCGGCCTCAATTCGCTTGCCACTCCTGAGC